TTGGTTACTTGGAGGCACGGTATCCTCTTGGCCCCGGGGAGGGGGGGGGGGGTACACCTGGAAAAATTGGGCGGGGTGTGCGGCCCACTTCCCAAAACCCTTACCCTATTTGACCAAAATCTGCGATATTCCCTATCCTTTTTATCACCTGACCATAAATTCGAAACCCTATTTATGACCTGACCCTTAAATCAAAACCCTGTTTCAGATCTGTGTTACAATTAGTTCCCTAGTTCAGACCAATGTTAAATTACTGTAAACATAATTTGTGAAGGGCTTTTGTTGATTTTCTTTTCGACAATAACGAAAAAGGGGCTTCTTCTTAAAAACATACCCATATCAAGGCCGGAGTACAAAACCCATACCCTATTTATGACCAAAACAGCTGAAAAACCATACCCTTTGGGGCCGCACATACCTATATAGCCCATGTAAGGGAGTCCCCTCACCCCCGGTCTCATGGTTAGTGTGCTCGACTCCGGATGAATGAATATATGAAAGACTTTATTAAAGTGTCAATAGTATTTAGATCGAGCGGTCCGGGTTCGAGCCTGGTCGGGGACATTATGACATTCACTCTCACAGTGCCTCTCCACCCAGGTGTAAAAATAGCTACCGGCGCATTGATGCTGGGGGTAACCCTGCGATGGACTAGCATGCCGGGCTTGAATAGATGCTGAATCATGTTAATGCTTTCGGCTTCTAGAAAGAATCATCGCTGTCAGCGTCCGGTAGTCTCTTGGGATTCAGTAGCTCCTTGTCAGTTGACATAAAAAAGTTTAGCGAATCCAATACAGATACAGCTAGTTTTACTGAGAACAGGATGGTATTCTCCTCTGGAGGACACAACTTGCCTGAACCCATTGGATTGCAGCTGATGCCTATTGACAACGCTGTTGAAGATAGTTTTTTCAGAGTTCTTGACCAGCGATACCGATGTCGAGGTTTGGCACAGCGAAGAAGTAACGTGAAAAGGATCTTACGGGAATACCCTAGGATAAAAGGGGCTTCTAAACCTCAAGGTACTATCTCACATTCATCCGTTCAAAAATACGTAGAATACTAAACAGAAAACAGCCAGAATAGCATTCTTACTAATGATGGTAACAGTGATCTGCAGAAAGAGGGTTGAGAGTATTTCTTTTGAAATTTTCAGATCCTGATGTGCGCATTCCTCTTACTTGGCCAGTCGGTACCTATGGTCTCCCCATGACAAAGTCAGGATGTCCGAAAGGAACGTTTTGGCACAAAGGGACCCGTTACCATGACACCGAGGATAATGCCTCAAACAACTATTGGTCAAATCCCTATGATTTAGCAGGACACGTTAGTAAAAGTAACATGGAACAAAAGTTCTGCATGAAGACCAGAGCTGAAACCTCAAAATACAACCTCCCCTGGCCCAAAGGACAATACTGCATCTACAAGAAAGGAAATTGCCCTCAAGGTGAGTAGATTGTTCTTCGGGTCGGTGATGAACCCTATTTCAATAAATGATGGTCGGAACATTTTCGATTTATCTTACCGATTTAGAACAACACACGAAAAATATATTCAGTGATGCAATAGGCCCAAGGCATGCTTCTAATTGTCCACTCAACTTGGTATCAGTCGAGGAAGATGACCAGGTCGGTTCTGTCTCTTTACAAACTTAATTGCATCGTAGTTCCAAATTTGGGAGTGTACAAGAGACTTTTGCAACTTTCTTGTCCACAATTGTTTGAACAGCAAAATGAAAACAGGCAAATTCCTGACCAAAAGTGAAGCTGGACAAATGATTGCAAATAGGGAAAGGAAACTGCTCTTCGGAAAATAAACTATTTTCCTACCAAATAAATTAGCAGAAACCTTCACTATTTGATGAACGGTTGAAAATCTGACCTGACGCCCAGTTATGTTGGTAATGCTCAATTTTAGCAGAACGCAAAATTTTAGATTATTTTCATTTCCCTCCAGTTATGGACTAATCAATGTTCTGTATTGTGCCTACCAGGCTTCAGGGATGGATACATTTATTGGGATGACGAAGATGACAACAACAATAACTGGCGCAGCGGTCAGCTACCAGACGGCAGTTATGACAGAAACACAAACATCTATTACTGCTGCCGGGATGATGGATATGCTACTAAGGCCATTTATCTCCCAATTGACACTCCCTTCGTTTTGCTCAAGTCTGGTAACCGTCATTGTCAGAATGTCCATGGTGTCAACACGCGAGAAGAATTCTTTCGTTGGGACAGTGAAGACGATTCACCGCATGCCATGGCAAAAGGGAAACACCCCTTTCTGGAATACCTGGGCAACAAAAATCTGAAAGTCCACTACTGTTATTATTATTAACAGGGATAAAAATGGGGATAGGACGTACGCATCGTCACATGAAATGCATGCAAAGTAGTTGACTGGAAGTTTTTCATACATTAAAGCTACGCGCTGAAAAGGAATAATGAAAATAAAAGTGCAAGGCACAGTTCTTTCTGCTTTTAACGCCATTGTTTTTTGGGGGAATAATAAAAGTGACCCAACCAGTTCTACCATTTATTTGCGCCTTGGTTACATGTTTGACTCGCATTTTTGGCTAGCTACAGGCAAGAGTTAACCGATCTCTTTCAATTTGACGTCCTAACTGAGGAATGCTTGAATCTGAAGTAAAACCTTTTTTTATTGTGGGAGCAAAAGCAATTCAGATATCGGCAAATTTTTAACATCTCGTCTTTACAAAGAAACTCCCATAACCTTAGAAATCCAATGGCATATTTTCTTTGCCACTTTATGGAACAAATTAACCTCGCGTCTCTCAAGTTTTTACCTGCACATTTCGTGATAATCATGACCATGCACTAAATCACTACACGAAATGCTGGTTAAATTTATTCTGAGGTAAGCTAATAGACTTTGCATAATTGGCGCCTAAATTTGAATGACCGTGCTGATGCTTATTTCACTCGTCACCTTTTTATTACCCACACTTTGTTCCTCCGACCTATCTCCAATTTATCTCTTTCTGTCCAAAAAAATACCTTAGTGCGATAAAAAGCCGCATCTTAGTTTCCCTTTAACGAGAAATGACGCCGCCAACTTCTAGATACCATTTTTCACTGCAGTGTTACCACCTTGTGTTGGGTACTATAATTATTCAAGATCTTTGTCGTAACATTCCCTGTGAGGAGTTTGCCAGTAAGAGATGAGAATTGATAAACGAAAATTCGCTTTAAAAATGTGATGATTCCTGGAAAGATTTTACTTTCGCTAAAAGTAAATGCACTTATTTGAGATGCCAAAAAATCATAGAACTCGATAAATCTTTCCCACCAATAATCGGGCCATGTCAAGACCAGGCGTCAGTTTCTCGAAAGTCCCGGAAACTTTTCGGGTCCGCAAAGCGATTTTTAGCTAATCTGTATCGAAAAATAGAGAGGTGTGTACGCATGAAACTTCTTATATGAAGGGAACCTCTGTTCATATTACAAATACGTGAATAAAGCAGCTCTGTAATATCATAAGGTTGGAGATTGCTATGGCTTTCTGCATGCGAAAACCTTTCGCGAGCTTGGAGAAACGAGCCCCAGATTTTGATGTCAAAAGGATACCACTTATCCCTTACAATGGGTTCCCAGCGGAAGAATATTGGCGGAACATTCAGGAAACGTTTGTGTAAATCTTGCATTTTTATGTGAACTCCTATCTAGATTGGGTGAGGACCATACTCGGGAAGGAGACCGCAAGTACACAGCAAGTCCACAGCGTGCGCGGTTCCCCCTATCTTACATAAATAGAATTCTATTATATAAAATAATGAAAGATGCGAATGCAGCCATAACACTACTGGAAAAAAAAAATTTTCAGGTCATTTTTCCGGTAGTGTTATGGCTGCATTCGCATCTTTCATTATTTCATTTAATTGCTACTGTTGCACATCTATTACCATGGAATTCATATGCTTGAGCCGAGTATTACGTCCACTGAACATATAGGGCCGAACTCCCACACGACTGCTCTCATGTGGCTCTGATAGCTCAGTTGGTAGAGCATTGCACCGGTGGGGCAAAGGTCGTGGGTTCGAATCCCGTTCAGAGCCAAAAATTTTTTCAGGCCATTTTTTCAGTAGTGTTATGGCTGCATTCGCATATTTCATTATTTCATTTAATTGCTACTGTTGGACATCTATTACCACAGAATTCTATTAGTATAGTAATACAAATGCGGCAATCTGCTTGGCTAAGCTACTGGTACATGTAGACTCTCAGCCATCACATAACAATTCAAATTATTCTCGCGTTTTGATTGGTTCTTCTGATCTATCGGAGGACAGACTTAAAGATGACGTCATTAACGTTAACATTGTTTTTGTGTCTCTGTTGTATAAAACAGATAGATTTCATGTCGCCGTGCGTCTGTTCACTAATTGATCACGGAGGACGTCAAAATGTAGTAAAAAGTTACCATAGCAACTGTATGAACTGCTAAAAACACCCTTAATTTTGGCTTTCAGTGCTTTAAGTGCTTTAAGTGCTGATAACTCAAAAACGAGCCTGGTGATCCCAATTTTTTTATTATCGAATTTTAACTCACAGGATAAGACGCAAAGTTTGCCCAAGTTTTTTTTTTTTTTGTTTAATCTGTATATGGAGTCGAAAGCCAGTTTAAATTTTCGAAATTTTAGTTGCCTCTGAACCTTATTTCTTTTTGAAACCTCGATTATTTCTGAAACGCTTTCCCCTGGAAAATCATTACAGATCATGATCAGCTTTTCAAACCTTTACTCTCCTATACCCCAAGAAATGGGCCTGGTTTTGGAGAAACAACACACTTCTAGGAACTGGATAATTTTCGTCAGAATTTAATCTTGTTTTATTAAATTTGACAGCAAAGTGACATCCGTTAAAACTCAAAGGATATGTTTATTTCTCGAAAATCCTTTAAAATTCTCGCCTAAGGATTGAAAATGGAACAGTGCTTCCAGCTTGATCATTTTTGTTTGTTTGTTTGTTTGTTGTTTTTTTGCGTACAAAATCACCAAAATTCACAACCATGAAACTGAATGAGAGGGGAGGAAAGGGCACCGTAAAAAGCATTCTGTTAAAAGAAGAACAATCGTACAGTAGCCTGTCATTTAGCGGTAGCCGTTCGTGACAAGGAGATACAAACAAAAGCTAACCAAGAACAAGATGCAGATATGAAGAGAAGTATGATCACAAGCTTGGCTAGAGATTTGTCGTTTAAAATCGCGCACGCACACTGTGCCTCCAGTGTTGCTGATTGTAACAGGGCTACCGCGCTCAAGGTTGAATACTCCTTCAGTAGTTGACACTTTTAGACTAGGAGAAATAGGACCAGAAGAGAGCAGGGTGATCTTTATTTCTTTTTCAGTCACAGCGAAATCCATCAGGCTTCCCAGATAATGCACGCTGATTGTCATCTTTGTGACATTGGGTGGTAATGAGGGATTAAAAGCCAGTCCAAAATTTTTCAGTCGGAATCCTCCATAACCATAAAGTACAGTCTGCAAAAAGCCACCAGCACCCGTAATGAAGTTGACCGCGCCCCAAATATCGCGCCGCTCCGTCCATACCTAGTGTGAAGAAAAAATTGAGTAATCTTGTAATTCAATATAGGTGGTCATAAAAAGCTGAAAATATTACAAAATCAATCACTATAGCTGTAAACGGTTTAACAACCAGATTCAGATTTAGAATCAACGTTTTTCCTTTTTTTTTTTTAAAGGAGCTCAGTCACAGTATTTTGAGTTATTTTGGCCACGTACAAAATTACCTTTAAATTGAAGGAAACCCGAAAAGAGTAGTTTACTAAGACAAGAAAACACCAAGGAGATAATAATAAACCATAAAGGAAAAAGATGGTAAAAGGATGGAGAAGATTGACACGGATTGTAAATGACGAACTTGAAAAATTTAGGCTTAACTCAATACTCACAAAAACTCGCAATAAAACCTTGCAACCGCTGAGAAGCGAGAGAAAAGCCCCAAAAAACAAAACCAAAAACAAAACCGAACAAACAATTCACGTTTGATTTTGATTTTCATCTGAACGACTGAGAAAACAACTACTCCTTTTTCGTACTGGTTAGTCAAAATTAATCAGATTAATCAGATTATGAACAAATCACACAGCTGGTAATCAAAATGTGTATCTTCCATTGCACTTCATTAATTACTATTACTAGAGCAGTGTGCTGATAACAGTCGTACCTTAAATGGTCCGCGGATATTTTCATAATTCTTTAGAAAAGGTTTCTCAGCTTTCTTATTCTCTCCTAAATCCAGCCAGCCAATAGCGAACATAGAATGCGTCATGGCCGGTCCATCAGGGTCGGTACGTTCTTCATAGAGTTTCAAGTCATTATAACGGACCTGCATAGAAATTGTCAGCATACACAGTCAATTACTGCCCAGTCGTGAGTATCATATGTTATTTTGAGTTCTCAGTTGAGTTCTGGCTGACTGGCTGACTGGCTGACTGGCTGACTGGCTGACTGGCTGACTGGCTGACTGGCTGACTGGCTGACTGGCTGACTGGCTGACTGGCTGACTGGCCGACTGGCTGACTGGCCGACTGGCCGACTGGCCGACTGGCCGACTGACCGACTGACCGGCTGACCGGCTGACCGGTTGACTGACTGACTAACTGACTGACTGACTGAAGGACTGACTGACGAGCTGACCGGCTGACTAGGCTGACTGGCTGACTGAATGACTGAATGACTGAATGACTGACTGACTGAATGACTCAATGACAGAATGACAGAATGACTGACTGACTGACTGACTGGCTGAATGAATGACTGACGGATTGACTGAATGATAGGGTGACTAACTGACTTACTTCTAAACGCACCCAATGGTAACCTTTACCAAAGAGGTCGAGTCAATTTAATTTGTTGAGAATCGCAAATAAAGAAGTTAACCCACCTTCTCGTCCATGTCGTACATCAGTGGAAAACCAATAAGAATCGTGTCAGCCTGTTTGACCTCTTTGTCTAACGTGTACCCTTCATATTCAGGGTGATAATTTTTCTCGCTATCAAAAGGGATGTACATCTTTTCTGCAATCGTTAGCCATTCTTTGGGAATCTCTCTTCCCAAGATATCGGCAACTTCCTTGGCAAACAGAAGGTTCATTTTAGCCACCACATTGGTGTACACAGAGTTGTTAACCGGATAGTGATATTCATCCGGCGGCATCACGTGATTGATGACGTATCTATCATTGGCAACGTCGTACTCTACTCTGCTAGCCCAGTACTCCGCGGTCTGGTAGACAAGTGGGTACCCAATCTCTTGCAACCAACTGGAGTCTTTACTTGCCATCCAAAACTGTTTTGCAGCGAAAGCTATGTCGCCGTTGATGTGGATCTGGTTTTTGCCGTACCTCTCACCTGGGGACGTCTCCAGGCCCGTGTAAGAACTTTCCCATGGAAACATTGCGCCTATAAAATGCAAGGAACAAAACTCATAAGATTCTATTAAATCTGAGTATAAATCAATGCCGTTCTCTTATTGGCTATGCACTATCTACAACAGAATAGATAGTGAGTAGAGGTGTGGTTGTCAAAAATTCGCGACCGCTTCTTTTCGTTTTCGAAGTGTCTGTGAAGAACATTTAGGTAAAGTTTTGCTGCGCCCTCGTCAACTATCACGTATTAAATAGAAATTTCGAGCTCATAATCAAATTGTTAATTAGACTCCTCCTCCTCCTTCCTTCAAGCATTATTATAATACCTGAAGTCGTTTACATTTGTTCCATTTAATCTTCTCCTCGGTTTTACATCAACCTCTTGTAGATCAAAACAGTTGTGGTGATCGTTCAAAACAGATTTGTAATATTAATTAATGCCACCGACTGATCAAGAACGAATTCAGTCAGATTGATGATACGATGAATGGTTAGAACTGTTACTTGATAATTTCCACTTTCTTACCTTTAAATCCATACTCCTTAGCGATTCTGCGCGCAGCCGGCAGCCGATCCTTACGATATCTGAGGGAACTTCTGGCCAAGTCTGGATGAAGCAGGACTAGAGGGGGGTACATCCAAATATCCTGATCCCAGAATGTATGTCCCATGTACTCCTCTCCACCCGGTAGACCCCCGGGGCTTAATCCGTACGGCCAATCATGTCGAGTGGAGCTTAGAATGTAGTACATACTACCGTGCACTGCCTGTGCCATCTCTAGATCACCTTCAATGTCTATCCGACCAGTGTCCCATAATGCTTTCCAAGCCGCTTTGTGTTCTGCCAGCAGTTCCTCCTTGACTCTATATAAAAAAATATTCACCGACAGGCTAGATGAATTTTTCAATCTTCCACCCCTTAGGTGATCGTCAGTTAAAATCTTCACGTATAAAATAATCGTTTTTGAGTCAAAACTTTAAAGTATATTAACTTCACTGCCTGTTGCATAGTACGCTCTTTTTTTATATAATAATAAGAATATATTTTATCTAGAATGAGATTTGCGAAGTTTAAGAATTTCCTAAAAAGCACTTCATTTCTCAGCTTCCTGTTGAAATTTTGACCGTTTTGCACCTATCAATTTATCCCCATTCAGGAGAAATCATACTTTAAATAAGGACAAGTTTACACTTATTTTATAAGAATATGTTTTATAAGAATATCGAGGCTGAGGCTTGCGAACTTTTAAGCCTAATATTTCAAGAATAAACGCGAAGCTGATATTTTGCAAAGACTATAAATTTGTGTGTTGAAAATTTGTAAATACAATACAATTATATATTTTTTTAAACCGTATGAAAATTATTCCTTTCTGTGAACCGCAAAACTAGCCATAAAACAACACATACAGTACTAGCCGTATGTTGGATGGCAATCACGTGTCTGCAAGACGTTGTGTGTCTTATCAGGCTTTATTGCCTGCAGGATGAAATTACTTCAGCGCCATCAAAGTCATGATAGGACAGGTATCATATGCTATAATCTAAGAATATTCACAAAAACATTTTCAGCCTAAAATATGCAAAATAAATAAATAAATAAATAAAAAATAAAATAAAATAAAATAAAAAATAAGAATATTCAGCTTGGGCCGTGAAACAATATTCTTGTATATAAAAAGAGTCGATATGTAATAATGGACCATCTTTTTTAATCAGCAGTGTAACACTCACAGCATAGCTTCGTCCCATTGGTACAGAGCTTCAGAGAGCGGGTTGAACTTGGTGTCCAGGTTTGTGGCTATTGAGGTGATGTAGTACCAGGTCTGCTCCTCAGAGGTTGCTTTTATGGTTAATGGCTTGCTGGTCCCTATTTCAGTCCAAACCATCGCCAAATTAGCTCGCATACTACCCGCTTCCTCAGTTTCGTTGACCTAGTCAGGAGAGAATATATAAACGAATTGAGCAGACAAACATTTATAAGTCACAAGCACTCGGGGAGAAATTAACCTCAGTTGATACTATGCAAGCCTGTTTAAGGTCGCTACACATCAGGGGTCACATGCTGCGGGGATATATGTTGCAGCGAATGTTTTCCTCGAGTGAGTCAGGCCCGTTTCTGCGAATAAGTTCTGTTGCAGGGAAAATATTTTGTCCCCACAAAATGAGGCATAAAATTTAACTTCATGAAGCAGGGACAAAAATGACTTCAATTTCAAATGTGGCATCGTGTGCACTGCTCTTGCAAAATATGTCCCCACTAAACATTTATACCTCAATGCATTTCGTGTGCACCAGTTTGTGTTCTATCCCTGCAAATAGCATCCTATGCGCACACACGAAGGGGCTTTTCCCCGCCACACGTCCCCTCTTCATGTCCCTAGTGTGTTCCCGACATTTGAGGCAGCCTTCACTTGGCTCCAGTTCTCCTTCCAAATATTTTCCATAATGGCTTTCGCCCGGGGAGGGGCGACTCTCATATAAAAAAGGACGAGAGTGCTCGACGAAAATTTTGAAAAGAACCCTTAAGGTGGGACTGAGGTTTTGTTCTTCTCGGAACTCGAATCTTTAGGTATTGAAGTTTTATTCTTACAAGTTCTGTTACTGTAAGTTTAAAGCTCGTTTTCTAAAAACGAGTTATTTTCGCCTTCGAGAAAAGATATCTTGAGAACGATTTATTCAATTGAGCTAAAATTTTCAGGAATTGTTGCTCTGAGTACGTTCTGTGGAATAAGCATAGAACTTTTCAGTGCATTCTGTCGAAGTTATATATTGAAACGCATGCTAGATTTTCTGTATGAGATTTAACTGGTCACCATTTCATGTGTTTTTAATTTTTCAAAAATCTCTATGCTTAACCCAGCAAGCTATTTGTCTTCTTTTATAAAATGTAAAAATTATTCCTTTTGATCAGTTCTCGTAGGAGTTATCTTTCCTCAAGTAAGCCCTGGTATTCCCCAGCAGGTGGCAGATTTAATCAGCCGGTGTCAGGTTACAATACAGTTATAGGGTACACAAATATTTTTTCCATAATCTTCGGTCTTTAAGCTTTTTAAAAATGTATACTTTGCCATGGTTTGGAGTTAAATCTTAGCCGCGAGAAAATGTTTAAAACATGGTGTGTGTTTAGGTGAAGTCCCATCTTAATAAGAGGTACCAAGATCGTGTTTCGCGGGAGTGGCTTGAAATTGTTTTCTCTTCTAGGAGGTATTTATTTTGAAGACAAGCAATAGACTGCAAGTTTGATACTACGTGAAAAACGTTTCGAGACACCAACATGACAAGAACCAATAAAGTAGGATCGCAACAGTGGACAGCTGTTTCGACCTTCTTGTAGATCCTACGTTGGCAGCGTTTATCGTATGCGTAGGNAAAAACGTTTCGAGACACCAACATGACAAGAACCAATAAAGTAGGATCGCAACAGTGGACAGCTGTTTCGACCTTCTTGTAGATCCTACGTTGGCAGCGTTTATCGTATGCGTAGGAGTTATCTTTTCTCAAGTAAGCCCTGGTATTCCCCAGCAGGTGGCAGATCCCTTGCAGTTCCTGTTTCTCATTTATTTTGAAACAACACATTATCTCCTGTCATATTTTTTTTTTCGGCGAAAGCTGTGGACCTTTTGAGGCTGAATACCTTAAGAGGTACCAAACCCGCTTTTTTTCTGTTTTTTAACCCTTAAAAAGTACAACGAGCACCCCAGTCCTTTTTGTATGGGATTCCCCTCCCCCTCCCCCTCCCCCTCCCCCCCCCGCCGCCTCGGGGTCTTGTAATATCGTCAACCATGTATTATATTCGAGCAGATCTCCGGAGTTTCCCGATAATTTTCAGTAGAACAAAAGACTTTCCGAAGGTCAACTGAATATTACGTATAATCAGTTCCTAAACTTGTCCTAATATTCTCGTAGACTTCGAAGAGTCGAAGACCAGTAATCTCAGGTAAAGAAGTGCATAAAACAGAAATAAGTCTGTTTTCAGCTAATAAATGATGAGCTAAAATGCGAGAAAACAGCCCGAGAACAATCGGAAAGGAGGAGCTAGAGGCTTCAGAATTTCCAAGAGTCTGCGAAGCGAAGGGAGCGTTGTGTGACGTTTGCGTGACATATCACGTGCTGCGTCACGTAAAACAGTAATCCTTACATTACTAAATCTATATTTATTTACTCCAGAACTAAAATTAGAGCACAAAAAATATTTACGCCACAGGTTGATACAAGGTACGTTCACTCAAATTAACTACCAAAATATGCAATGAATATAATAGTTATTGTGATCATGTTTAGATTAGAGCCGCATACGTTACACAATTTTAATTCCTACCATGCCAAAGGCTGCCGAAGCCCCAGATCTATTTGACTCAGTCGTCTTGAACTCAACATCCACTGAAGAATCTCCGCGATTTGTAGAGAGGTTAATCAAGAACTCCTTGTTAGCGTTGTTCTTAGCTGATATCTCCACAACCAACAAATTTTTCCGCGATCGATGTGCATAAATTCTCTGCTCCACGTCTAAGTTCTCAGCCTTGAACCATTTGTAGAACACGCCCTCCAGTACGTCCAAAGCGTAAAAGGTTTTTCCTTGAATCCCGACCAGTCTGAAGTCGATAGCAACGGTGGAAGGAATCCTAGCGCGGTGTGCGTGTTCGTAGAAGTATACCGGGTACACGGGCTTCTTCTTCGGGTAAGCCTTACCATTAAACACTCCAGACACATGCACAGTATCGCTGTAAATCACTGTTCCCATGTATCCATTAGCCACTGAAGGCATAATAGTACCATTTCTGCTCTGGCGAACGGTAACTCTCTGGTGCTCTGTAGGTAAACTATCCGTGACAAACCTGGTTGGCGTACCTGCCCTCATGGCGCGACAAACAATCGCTGACAAAACTACGAGGAAAGCAATCTGGATGCCGTGACAGGTCATGTTAGAGCGTGATAAGGTCTCGAAATCCTTCGTACAGTCGCGTCAATGGTATTTCCGATGGCAATTTTAAAAGCATCTACTTTCTGAAAGCAGCGCGTTGAGGCTTTTTGAACGACAGTCTGCACCATGTCAGTTTTAATAGTTGACATTGTAGCTCATTGTGAGTTAAGTTCGCTTGTCAGTCCTTTTATTATTTTTGTCAGATATGTCAATTCCGAGTCCATTAGCAGGAGTATTGAGAGCCTGATCGAGAAGTCAACGAGAAGGCGGGGGGAGGGGGTAAAGAAACCCAAGCAAGAGGATTGATTTGTCCTGTCACGGTCACGCAATATTGTTAATTACTGTCGAAAGTAATAGAAGATACAACCAGAATTACGGTTTACCACAAATTAAATACTTCTTTCTCATTTCACGGAGAATTATTTTCGAAAATCACGGTTCACGGCTGCTAATGAAATCACGTTTCACGAGAAAAAATTAGGCCATTCACGAATCACGAAAATACCGTTTAAAGATTTGGTACTTGATCTTGAGAAACACAAAAGAGATACCTCGATCTTACGCACTCAACATTTAATGCCAAGCAAAAGATGTTGCTGACTTTTTTCTTTCCTTTTCTGTACATTTTTTTTTCAGGAGCGGGGTAGGATATTGTTGCTCATCACGCTTGACCAGTAGCAGCCGAATGATCGACGGTTGCTACCCAGAATGTTTTAACACTCACGGTTATCTGTCAGCGGCGCTGGAATTAGCGTTGATGGAATGGTATCCCGTTAAGTCTAGATTGCTGTTGAACTGTATTTTAAATGTAATCGGTCTGTAACGCCCGGCTGTAACGCCAGGGCTATGGAATGAATGAATCATGAGACCTTCGTTGCGAAGGACCAAGATCCTGTTTTTACCAATTCTGAGACGCAATAAACAGTCAGTTGATTTTGAAATACATCACCTGATATACTTTTTCAAGTTATATCAAATAGGACTTCTGTATCAGAAAATTTCTGCTTAATTTGCCAAGCAAAGGATTTTGAGGGTTGCTTTATTTAACCTGTTCACAGCAATGAATGAGTTGCCAGTAATCGGATACCCGTGTTTGCGAAAAGAACTCTGGGATCGTCAGGGGGCAAACATTGCAAGTCGCTAGAAGGAAATGTATGGCGAAAAGTTGTTTCGACGCCCAAAAACATGGTTTTGGACAGAGATCAACGCTTTTTCGCCGTTGTTTTATCGCAAATTGATTTTGGCAATTTTGATACTTGGAAAATGTAAGTCTTTGTTTGAATAACCGTCAAATAAGTGAAAAAATTTACCGATAAACTCCCTTTTGCTTACGTGAGGTTTATTGTGAAATACATTGAAGAGAATATTGAAAATTTCAATACACGCCT